TTGTTTAAGAATGAAGTCAGTGTAAAAAAAAGAGCCAAAGATGGAGAAGCAGAAATCATAAAGAGCTTCTCTTAATTTAAAAGTTTCTCTTTAATCCACATCTGAAAGATGAGTTTAAAAGGGAGCATTATTTTAGTTATTTTGAAAAATAATTGAGATTAAGAAACTGGAGGAAATAATGACAATTACAAAATTTAATTTGCAGAATAAATGTTAAGCTAAAAGCAGTAAGCAATCAATATAAAATCAAATCAAATTTTTCATTGAAAATATTTATGTAACTTTTCATTTATTTCTTCTTTAAAAGAGAAAATCTTTATTTGTGTCTTGTACTCTGAGTAACTACTTTGAAAATAATAAAAAACAGTGTATTAACTATTGCTATTCTTTTATTGTATTGTTTGAATGTTTTTTATAGAATAAAGTTTTAAAGAAGATAAAATCAAATTATAAATGTATCGGACAACCTCTAAAAACTGAAAGACATTAAAAACTCTTATTAGTGAAATTTTTGGCATTTCTTAGACATCTTCATATCTATCTTACACTTAAATGTTTGGTGTCTCTATGAAGTAGATAAAATGGCTATTATTGTCCCATTTCACAGATATTAAAAACTATACTAGATGACCTGGTGATTTGTCCTAGTTAGTAGTAGAAGTTAGAATTGATTTTTTAATAGAAAATAATGCTTGCTCTATATCAGGACCATTGTCTTAAATTGTTCATTTTAAAAAAATCATACATACAGAACTTCTGTTAGAAATTCAGTAGATGTTCTCGTCACAACTTCCAATAATTCTTTTTCCACTACTATGGCTTCTAGGTTCCAGGTTTTAACAGCATGGAGTCTTTTCAAAGACCTGTCCTTGCATAAGAAGAAATTAATCCAAGCCAATCGTTTGCTAACACATTGGGTTGTGATTGCTTCTTAATTCTCTTGAAGCTGACCTCAGTGCCTCTATACTTTATGTACAAATATCTTTGCTAGGACGAAAACAAATAAACGAACAAGTAAACAAAAAACTTCGCCCTCTAGGGTTCACTGCTCGTGTCCTTCCCCGTCTCTTACAATCACATCCTGAGATGTAGCAACTGCCACTCAAACCCCTTCTATCATAGACAGGCTGCATGAGATTAACAACCATGTGTGGACATAAAGAAAGAGGAGCTGGAGTGGAATTATGTGATACAATATCACTGAGAGTCCAGAAGTGAGTTTTTGGATGGAAGAAAGAAGCTGTTGGTGGTTTAATTGCAAAGGCTTTTTCTTTAAGAGGCAATATTTTTTATTACTACATGTCTGTTGTACATAATGTAACACCTTCTTCTTCCCTCCCTCCGTGTCTGATGCCCTGCAGCTTTGAGAAAGACCTACCTCCCTACTTTCTATTATTCTTTTATTTTGCTCTTTATTTATACTTTGGGCTTCTCATATAAGAGAAACCATGGTATTTTGTCTTTGAATTGGGTATTCCATGAGTACAGACACAGATTTACTTTTAACAATCTGTTCTTTCTTGGGGCAATGGGTTTTCAAAATTCCAAGTGGTATCTGATGGCTCTTTGCAGTTTTCTCACTCTTTAGTCTCTTTGTGTGGGTGAATGCATATGCAGGGATTAGGTACAATAATTAGCCTTCATCCTAAACTGCAAATTCCTTGATGGGATATTTAAAATTTCTTTTCAGACACCAAACTAAACATTCAGGTCTGCCTAAGTCTTATGACTAATAGTTTTCAATTTCAATAAATGTATTTTCATACTCCCTTAACGGAGTGGAAAGAAGTTCTACACTGTAGAATAACACCCATTGATTTTAAATTTTTTTTATCATTTTTATATGAAAGAGAAATGAATCAAAGAGCTTGTCACTTGTAAGTTTCCACATGGTGCCACATAGATCTACTAAAGTGTCTCCCCGGGAGAGACAAAGTATGTAGGGCTAAGAGATGCAGAGAATTATCTTCACACATCAGTGGACTTAAAAGTACCATCAGGGTTTCAGGAGCAATGCTTCTCAGACAAGTAGGCCATGATATGACCTCTATTAAATTTATGGGAAATGAGGTTACTCCCTGGGTGACAAGCTGTTGAATGACAGTAAAAAGTAATTAATCACTCCTACTCCTCTTTGTTAAAATAGCTGCGCTTCAGCCTTTTTCTTTTTCCCAGGTAGCCTTAAAATTGAGGTGTGGCCACAGTGGGTTCATTCCGCTGGGCTTCACCTTGATCTGACCAGCCCGTAATTTGCTTATGCTCTGAAGCATGTAGACGATATACATTAACCTTCAGGGTATCTTTAGGGATACCCCTAAACTTTAGCGAGCCAATGTGTAAAGCAGATTAGCAATGTGGCAAGAGTGAGATGAATTAATACAATAAATCTTCCTTTCCACTCCTGCCTTTTAACTCATCAAACTAGTGACTTTAAAATGAAGATAATGTTCATAGCACACTTAAGTTAGTTATTTGTATTGTAAAGTAAGTATATTATTGCACACAAGTGCATATCTTGTACAATAATAATAGTATTTATAGAGAGGCATATGTTTGGCATTGTGTTAAGTCCCTTACATATGGCATCCCATGAAATATCCTTTATAGATGGTTTCTTATTAAATTTTGCTACTCCTTATTTTCTGATAAGGAAACGGGGTTTAAGAGAGTATATTAACTTATTAGACAGTAAGTCCTAGAGATACAATTTAAATCCAGGTCTGTGGTCTAACTTAAATCCTATGTACCTTAGGTGGGTGTAATGCTCTTTCTCAACTGGCCATTAGTCAATATGAATCCCAACAGTTATCAGTAATATTGCTGTCATATTTATGATGCCTACATCTCTATCTTTATCTCTCTCTATCTCTATCATCTCTATCTCTATCTCATTATTGGACTACAATTAAGGAACTAGTATGATATAGACTAGGCAGGAAAATAGGTCAAAATTTATTGAGTAGTAAAATAACTAGGTAAGGTTAATCACTTAATTCTTATCCTCACCAGTTTTATTGAGAATGTACAATTGTGTAATTCAGGAAGCACAGGATACCAGATCATATGGAAATCAAGGGAAGAAGGATGAGAGAGAGAGGAGAGAGAGAGAGAGAGAGAGAGAGAGAGAGAGAGATGGCAGAGGTGCTACAGGGAGAAGTGGCTGGTTCTGATCAAGAGCACAGTGGCTTTGCTAGGATTCAGTGATGAAGGCGGTGTTGGCAAGTAGTAGTGAGCTGTCTGGTGAGCTGATGTCTTTTATTACAGAACTACTGGCTCCCTAAGTAGAGGATTTTCTGATATACTTCCTCCCCTTTGCTATTAGTAAAATGAAAATTTATATTTTAAGAAAATTTAAAAATAACTGAGATTTTGTGGGACCCTTTGTCTTAATGTACAAAGTGCAGATTTACTGCTTTTTAAATTATATTTCTATTAATTAGATGTCTTACATAATCTCATCTGTAAGGTGTAAGTGGAAAAAATTGGGCTCTCTGGGAGGGCTCATTTTCCTTAGAAATGTTGGAATAACCATGCAAGTAAGATCTCAAAAAGTTACATGCTCTTGTTAAGGCATAGTTTTTAAGAAATGAAGAATTCAAGGACTTTTAAAAATGTAGTACTTTACAAATCCAGTAGGCTGTAATACACAGCTTGATTTAGCTCTCATCTTCTTGTCTACTTAGTAGACACATTTATAGCACTCTCTGAATAATTTTGAGCAAGTCCCCTGTATTGTGGTATATTTATTCATGGTCATCAATCACCATGAAAACATTGCAAAACAAACCACTCCCACATTAACTTGCATGAAACAAAACTCAATCTTGTCCACATGTCCACATGTTGGCTAAAATTGGCCAATCATGCTGTGTCCAGAGAGGCGTGGCACTGATGGTAGTTAACGCCAAGATAACCAGGACTCGCAGTGGCACATAGGTATTTTCCATGAGACATATTCTTCTCATGGAAAAGGTCAATGTACAAGAGGGTAAAACAACTGCACAAGCACATTTAATGCTTTGCAAATTTCAGGTCCACTTACGCTCCATCAGTCATGGCCAAGTCAGAAGTTACAGCCTGAGAACATCACGGCATGGATGCACAGTGTTAGGACTTGGCAGGGAGAGGAGCTGTGAAAAATTGGGGCCAATATCTTCATCTATACTGCTAGAAAAATTTCTAAGGGTATGTTTTCCAAATTTCTCATACTACATACTATGATCACCTCATATGAAGTTATATAGTATGGGATAGCAAAGGGAGAATATGGGTCTCTACACACGCTGTTTTTTCTTTTCTTTTAGTTCCACTGGCTACCTTTATGACAAAAGGAATTCTGAAACTATGTCCTTTAGGATATCAAGAAGTTTATCAAAAAGTGATGCCACTGAAATACTTCTCATGGAAGGAATCGTGACCTTGATATGGCAGGAAATGGTCACTGTTTCTTAGATTGAATAACCTTATAATAAGCTTGACTATAGGTTATTAAAACTATTGAGCATACTAATGTGTGCTGCAAATATTTAAGAGGTGGTATATGGTGTTTTATCAACTTATTGGATCATAACACTCCCTTCTTGCAACAAGCTTATTTATTTATTTATTTATTTTTTTAAAGAGCATCTCAAGGGCCTGGAGGTTTTTATAATTCATTTTGGAACATGCTTGTTTAAGGCAAATTTTCTCTATCTACTACTTAATTTAAATGGAGCTGGCATCTGGTTAACACCCAAATTTTCAAATAAATATTTCTAGAAAGATTTGAAAAGAGGAAAAAGTAGGTTTAGTGCATCTTATTACAAGATAACATAAGTGTATTTTTGACCTGAGTTGGCATATTCTATTTTAAGTTAACCATGTTACTTTTAAGTTAGTGAAATTGAGGCATGCGTAGCTATCTCAGAAAATTTGTCTTTCTGAATGATTCAGATATGTTTACACGCATAAAGAATACTAGAAATTAATGTTTGTCAACACCAAGGCATTTCTACTTCTAGACAAAGAAAGAATGGGGTTCTCAGGTCGTGTGATCCATGCTCTTACATCAGGAAAACCTTGGTAAGTATAAAAAGTTTTAAAATGAGCAATACTAATGGAACATATGTTTAAATTTACATACTGGTTTATATTGTAGTGAATTCTTTTCAGGGGAAGGTAGCAGTCTTTTCTTTTCTTTTTTTTTTTAACTTTTGAGACTGGGTCTTGTTAATTGCTAAATTGTCCAGGCTGGGTTTGAACTTGCGATCTTCCTGCCTCAATTTCCCAGATTTCTACAGGTATAGATTGTCCTACCAGGTTTTCTTTTTTTTTTTTTTTTTTTGGTTTTTCTCCGGTACCGGGAACTGAACTCACGACCTTGTGCTTGCCAGGCAGGCACTTTTTGCCGCTGAGCTAAATCCCCAGCCCCCCTACCAGGTTTTCTTTCTTTCTTTTTTTTATATAAAACTTATATGAAGCTGGGGCAGTTTTAGCTCAGTGGAAAATATTTTTTTATACCTAAAATTTTTATGGGATGCTGTAAATCTGAAAAAATCATTTTAAACAGCTGAGACTTTATGGGCACTCAGGGATAATAAAAAGTTTGAAGAATATATTATATTATGTAGATGATGGGAATATATTAGTCAATATTATGACTTTTTAAAAGAGTTTTCTCTTAAAACTAGGATAAAGGAACATCATTCCCTAGTCTTTTAGGTAAAGTGTGAGCACGTTTTTGCATAATCTCCTTCTTTATCACTATACCCAGAAATGAAGGGAGAGACTATGTGATGTATGGTGCTCTGGCTATAGTGGCCTTCTGTGACTTCTCACATGGTCAGACACCATATGTGTGGCCTCCAATTATAAAAGACAGCAAAGCCTTTAGAGCAGCTGAAGAGTTAATCCTATATTACTAAACATATGTGAATGGAGAGTTGGAATTTTAATAACACTAGTATGTACATTCTCTTATTTTTCTCTTCACTGAAGCTCTGTGAGGCACCACTGACTTCTATTTTGTGGATAATAAAACTATATTCTGAAAGATCTAGTGATCTGTCCAAGGTTATACAGCTTATAAATAGTTGAGGAAGATGCTAAAAATAACGTTCCTGATTTTTAATTCAATACTTTTTCTGTATCTTTGTACATTTTTCTGAAATATTTTATTCACAAGGTTGGTCTAATCCTATGTGACTTTGAAAAATAGTAGAAGGGGGTAAGAGCCTAGAAACAAAAGTATTATTTTCAAATTTAAATACTTCAGGAAAAAAGAGGATCTGAATAGTGAGAGGATCTGAATAGAAAGAGCAATAGTAACAGGATCTGAATTCCTTAAAGGGTATTTAAAGCAATATTTATAGATTTATACAGAGAAAACTAAGTTCCTATACTACATGTAAGTCATTTCTCCATATGAGGGAAAAAAAAAACTTTATTTAAAGCACAACCTTTGAAGTCTTCATATAAAAACCTGCTTACCGTTTCCCAGAGCTGGTGGTGAGAAATAACAAAAAAGAATACTTTTGCTGGAGAACTAATCAGGATTTCAAGGGATGTGAGAACAGGTGATAACTTACTTTCATAGCTCTCAGTCCTACTGCACAAAGGGGAGAACGATTACTTTCTCTCTCACAGACTAATACCGTCCTATCAGAGTCTCCTAAAGGCTCTGTAAAATGTTTTCCATTTCTGAAAGTAAGGGAAAGATTCACTCAGACTTATAGGAAGTCGATTTCTTCAGTGACCTTGCTTAGAAAATATAGGTTAACATGGAGACACCACTTCTAATTTCCTGTTTGCCTATTTGCTTCTGATAAGCAGCAGCCCTGGGAGAAAAACATGAAGGAAAGAAACTTTCCATCTTAATATTTTGGCTGGTAATGTGTGAGGGAAGAAAGCCCAGGAGGACATGTGATAATTATAATACTTCTATGGTGAATTGTAGTATGATATAAACTTAATGAAAATATGTCTTATAGCAATGATAATAGCAAGCATTTATCAAATGTTTACATATGCAGTGAGTTATGCTAAGCCCTTTACCTCTACTACCATATGAGATAAGTACTAATATGGTATTTATTTTCATTTTATAGATGATAAGACTTAGGCTTAGGCAGTTTAAATAACTTCATCAAGGTCACAATGCTGTAGTAAGTAACTGAGCTTCCATTCAAACTTGCACTGCTCAGAGCTCAGAGGGTATGCTCCTAAATCACTACATTTTAAAATGCCAGAATATCTAAGTCCTGAGTCCTACATACTTGTTACAATTCTTAATGGCTTGCAAATAGCACTTATATACATATTACTATAGGAATATGCCTCTTTTCAGTGATGGCAAAGTTAAATGAACAAATCAGTTGAGTAAAAATGTTAAAATCATTATATTTTTAAGAAACAAACTTCATAGATAAAAACACATATGTTGACTTAGTATCATGAAAGGCTGGACCAAAAAGCAATTCACATTGATTTAGATATTAGTTGCTACCAGGTCACATTTACTATGGATAATACCTGAAAGATTTTGGTCATGCAAAATCATTTTCAGTAGTGAAAATAACACTCAAAATAGCACTGACACTGAGTGACCAAGAAAGAGATGATATCAAATACTGACTTCCCAACTGTCAAATTTGCACACTGTTTTAGTCTTTTTACAGCCCACAAGTGATATCAGACCAAGCTGGAGGAATGAAAGTTGGCTTTTCCCTAATTAGTATTGCAGATCTTCCTTTGGCGCCTGGTGAGCTCTGATGACACGTCACTTCCCCAAAACATGCAAAGAGCGGATGCAGCCGCTTTCTCTTTGCCCAGTCTTTATGTTTGTCTCTGCGCTACTCTTTGGTGATTATGACTAGAAGAAAACAATGGGCCACATTCAGAGAAGAAAATCTTTAGACCTTTATTTGCCATCCATTATGGTCACACTAATTACAAGGTCTTGGAAAAGTCTGCAGTAGAAAACCACTTTTGCAACCTCTCCTGCGTGTTATATCTAAAAATGTCTTTATTGTTAATGTCTCTGTCAGTTCACCCAGAAAATGTTATAGTTTGCTAAGGAATTTCGCCAGGTGCCTAAATGTATAAAGTGACTGTCTGAAATATGACACTGTCCAAAGATTGACAGTGAGTTGATATAGATAGGGCAGAAGTTCAGGTGCAATTCTCTATTTCTTGTGAGCTTGACAAGTCACAAATATCTTATATGCAGTCCTCATTATGACTTGAAATCATTGCTAGTTTCAAGGAGTGCATGGTTGACAACATTATGGAGAGAATAAATAAAAAGTGGGACCAAGATGAAACTTTCAGTTAACATTTTTTAAAATTAATGAAATAATAAAAATCGAATCCCATTCCAAAGCACAAAACTCATTGACCATGGCTAAAATAGCAGTTCTTCCTTTATAGAGGTAAAAGAAATGTATTTCTCACATTTGTAAAAGAATGCTTCAGTCCTATGGCTTGGATGTGGTGTTTGTCTTTCATCATGTTGTGACCCAGTCAGGGGTCCTCGCCAGAGACGGAGCAAGGGAGGCGGTCCAGGGGTCTGGAGTTTCAATCTCCAAATCTATGAGCCAAATAAACTCTTCTGGATAAGTTCCAAGCAATAAAAAATGGACTAATACAAGTAAAGGAAGTAAAAGCAATGTTCATCTCTTTATATATGGATGTACTCTTTTTTCTTTGCAATACTTTAGTTGAAAACTTTGTCTTTTGTTTACATTCAAGTAAAGATATTCCATCGTCACTTGTAGTCAGAGTGGACTGAAATACTTGGCATGTACTGATTTATCAGTTATTACACACTGAAGTTTTAACTCCCAATCAACCATACACAAATGCAAACTGAAATCACTCTTTATTTTATTCATTAACAAACTAGTAATTTATTTATTCATAAACTAGTAATTTTATTTATTCATTAACAAACTAGTCAGTGAAAGAATGAGACCAAATTTTTCACCCAGTACACAGGTAGCAAAATGTTACCAATTCCCTGAGGAACGTTATTCTCTAAATATTACTTTACAATTTCCCTATTTTTTTTTACATGTAGAATTATTATGAGAGTGTATGCAAAGGAAAATAAGCCTACTGAGATAAGAGATGTAATAAGGTGGCCAGATATAGCAAATAAAAACACACAATGTCTTGTTAAAATTAAATTTTAGATGAATAATTCAGGTAATTTAAACAAATACTGAATATTTAGTATAAATATGTCCCATACTACACCCCTAGCACTGTACCCCACAGTATCAGTGTCTGTCCCTGGGTCCCGAAATTATCTGAGTTTGATTTCCTTCCTCATGATTTGCACTCTATGTAGGGCTGAGTGAGACTTGATTTTCTAGAAGGAAGTCTGGGCGGGGCAGAACACATACCTTAGTTTATGGCGCTGCCCTAATGTAGAAGAGTTCCTAGGCTTAGCTCAGGATTTCTTTTACCAGAATCCACGAGAGCACCCCAGGAAGGGAGGAGTCAGAAAAAGGGGAGACTTAGCTCGGAGGATCGGTAGTGAGAGAACAGGCTCGGGCAGGGCAGGAATGCAGAGTCTCCCGGAAGGAGGAAAACTAAGGGTGGGCTGCACCTCCAGCGCGCTGAGGGCGGGCACCTCAGTGCCCTCCCCGGCCGTTTTGTTATCCTTTGCAAAGTGTGAGCTGCGGGTGTGACAGGGATTGGGAGAAAAGAAGAGGGGAGGGCTATGGGAAAGTGAGATCCGGGTAGACACACAGAGGAGCTACTGTGGGGGAAATTAAGGAAAGAAATGTTTCATAGATCACATTTGTTTCAAAATTAAGCTTGATGACTAATGGAGGAATCAATTTTAGGGAAATTTTGAGCTCGCCAAGTTTTTTGAGTTAAAGTGAATAAGGGCACTAACAGGTGGATTCTGAATGATTCCGTGATTTATGGATTTATGAAATGCAGAAAGGACCACAAAGCAAAAGCACACCCATCAGAAAGCCCTCTGTAATATGGGAGCACTGCACATAAATATGTTTGACATCCAAAAAATTATCTCAAGTCCTAAATTGTTGTGGAGAGAACGGTATCTTGTA